CCCTGCGCTCAGCTCAGCTCAGCTCAGCTCCAGCCCGAGCCGGCCCGGTCGCGCGGGTGAACTGCCAGCCCTTCCCCCGGCGGCCGCCCGCTCAGCTGCGCGGCCCGGGGCTGCAAGAGGCAGCTTCTGCCAGGGCCGCCCCCGAGGCGAAGTCACCGCACTGCGCTTCTGAGGAAGTGACTTCGGAGCTGAAGAGCCGCTAGACGAGCCGGCACAGCAGGGCGCGGCGCCTGCGGCACCCACCTGGCCGCGCGCACTCCCGCCACCTCTGCCTCGGGGGAAGCGCTGCCCGGCCGGCGCCCCGGGCTCACCGTGTGCGCTTACAGCACAGGAGTGAAGCAGAGCAGCCAGTCTGGGCTCTGAGCAGCCCACAACAGGTCCTGGGTCAAAAGGAACTGGACAGACATGGTTGTTTGGGTAAATGTGATGTCTTTTATCTACGGTGTAGGGTGGAGCTGTGTTGGTCTAAGGACACAAGCAGACAAGGGTCTTTGGGCGAAGCTGATATCTTTTATTAGACCAACTTAAATAGCTGGTGGCAATTGTTTTTAAGCAAGCTTCTTTACTTTTCATTCCATCCAGGAAAACACACAAACTGCAGAAGCTTCCTCAGCCTGACTAAGGGCATTTGTACCCAAAAGCTTGCAAAGAACATTTTTTTCCCAACTATTTAGTTGGTCTAATAAAAGATATCACATTTGCCCAAAGAGCTTTGTCTGCCTATGTCCTTAGACCAACACCCAGGAAAAAGAACTGGAAGCACTTTACCTGCAGCCCTTCAGCTGTTTCAAGGAAGGGAAGCCAAGGCACACAATGAACATCCTTCTTTCACACACCAGGAGCACCAGTTCACACTCATTAAAACCTGTGACTAGATGATATGCATGTCACTCAGCTCAGTACATTATTTACTGGTTCTTTTTGCACCTGTCCAAAAAGATGACTCCCAAGTCTGGCTCCAGTGCCTACTGTACAGCTTAGTCCATCAGAAGTGCCAGAGCCTGACATCAATAAGTTGTCCCATTTTAGTGGTGGAAATACAGGTGTTTCACAGGTAAGAACTCAGCAAGATTCCCCACCCAACGTAAGACAGCATTTCTCCACCTGGAATTCCAGAAGGGAAAAGCCTGTCACAAACACCCTATGTAAGCCACATCTTAGGTTACAGCTGCAAATGCTGCTGCAACGCTTTGATTTAAAAGGGTCTTCTATAGAAGGTTAGCATCATTTAAATTAACACTTCAGGGTATGCCTACTTCTCACACCAGTAAGAAAACAAATTTTAACTAAAAGAAAGAAGCACTAATAAATGCTTTCATGTTCAAGAAATGTTTTAGTGACTCAATGCACAAACATGTTGGCAGTTTGGGGAGGGGGAAGAGACCTGAGGAACTAAAACCAAGATACAAAGGTGAGTTAACACACTCAGACTTCCAAGCACAGATTCAATCAGGCTTCTGTGCGACTGATTTAGCTTTTAGAAATTCAAGTGCACTTGATTCCTTGATTTTACTGCAAGTGCAGTGCAGACAGGCCTGAAGCCCAGCAGCCTATCCCAGCATGTATGATAATGTGAAGCCAAGTTACTATGACTTTTCCCAGCCAAAGTTAAATAGCCTTGATTTTAACACTGTTCACTGTGCCATTGTTGCAAACTGCTTCTGACTGTAATTGTGCTGTATAAACTAGTTAGCAGGAAAGATTGACTGAATCCATTCTGCCATAAGTCTAGTCTTTGAAAGCTGGGACGTTTGGGCCCTTTGTATTACAGAAGCAAAGAATGTTATACAAGAATTTCAGGCTTCACTCCCCAAGGGTTTGTTTTGGACAGCTCTGACCTCAGAATGCAGTAGGGGGATAGCCTGCTACTATGCAAACTGCTAGATGCAGGGAGGCAGTCTGAGCCTTTGGTCAGCGGGGCTCATGTTGATAAGCATTTCCATTCCGAAATATCACAACAATCTCCAAAGACACATCCATCTAACCTTCTGTCACCATAAAAAAGCAATGGCAAATTACTAGGGAGGGGGAAGAGAACAAGAAATAACAGTGCCTACAAGTTTAATAACAACAGTTTCTAAAGCGCATTGAAAAATAACTCCATCAGCCCTGTGAAATAACACCTTGCTTAATTACTTCTAAAATGATAAAGGTATGGTATGCAACTAAGAACAGACTGTCATGCTACAGGACTGTCTTCATCTGTAATAAGTAAGCAAAAATATAACTGTATAGACGACAAATACTAAAAGATTGTAGCAGAGCTGAGAACTTCTCAGGGATGTGAAGAAAACTGACCCCAGTGCACGCATTCATACTGATATTCCTACACCTTAAAGTTTTGAGTGCACGATACTTTGACAAGCTGCGAATTCAAATTTAACATTGCAGTTTCAAAAGCACTATCGCAAAAAGTTCTTGGAAGTCAACATTACCCAAATAAAAAAGTGTCATGAGACTGATCTTTTCTATCAACCAGACTCCGCTGCCACCCCTTATGGTACTTTAGCCAAGGAAGCGGAAACCTTGAAAAACAAACAAAAAAAACCCGTTCTATTCAGACTAGACCTCTGGTTGGAGATAACTTTGAAGCCACATACAGTGATTCTTAATGAGAAATTAAACCAGATAGGTCTGACAGCAAAAAAAAAAAAAAGTTGGCAAATTAACTGGCTAAACTTCTCATCTGTAGTTGAGACACTGAGATGAGGTGGTGTTCTGACTACGTCCCCTCAGCTTCCAAAATCTCAATCTTTTCATAACATATGACGCCACAGGACTCCATAAAACAAAGCAAAGCCAGCAGGCCAGCACAGCAAAGTTTTAGGGCTAAGTTTGACTTAAAGTCAAAGCATGACAAATCTCTTTTCCAGACACTTACTAATTTTCAGCATGGAATATTTCAGGTGAAACAAAAATCTGCTATAAAGAGACCATTAAGTAATACTGTACCTGAGGTATTACAAAAATGAACAGGAAATCTCAGTTCTCCAAAACGAGACTATTTTATGAGGGACCCCAGATTCTGCAAGAGAAATTCTCTTATGAATCAAGATCAAGCAGGAGGAAAAAATAATGTCTACATTACTGCAGTCTGGTTAGATAAAGTTCATCTGTACAACAAAAGCTGTTAGCCTTTACTAATTAAGTACTTACTGTTGCATTAAAATGACCACCATATCAGGACAGTTGGAAGAGCTGCCTATGACTAGAGTTTTGAAAACACAGAAAATGTTAACATTTTTTTTTCTTTTTATTCAAGGAAATTTAATATACAAAATATTTCCAGATTCACATGCATTTAATCCTCCTCTTCTTCCTCCTCTTCATCCTGGTTGATCTGGAAGTATCGCAATTCATAACTTTCCTTGCTATTGGCAACTACACGCAGCCAGTCACGCAAGTTGTTTTTCTTCAGATATTTCTTAGTCAGATACTTCAGGTATCTGTGGAAAGAAGGGAACCAGTAATCCAACTGAAAGCAGTACAAATACCTCTTATTCTGCATTACGTGCT